GGCGAGTGCCAGCCGGATGCATGGACGGAGTTTTAATTTGCAAGCGGTTGGAAGAGCTGCAAATGCTGGAATCCACGTGAAGGTAGAGTCACGTCTCCCCTGAGGGGTGGTGGGAGGGTAACCAAGGCGCTAAGGGTGCGAAGTCCGCGCGCAGACGCGGCGCTAATGGGCGACGCAAGCGCGCGGTCCTCCGCGGCAGTCGGGTGCCGCATTCAGAGCACCTGTGGGCGTGACCTCACAGCGGGAGGCTCACGGGCTGCGCGGAGGTCGGGCAGCAATGCGGAATGGGGCAGAGAGCAGCAATGCGGAATGGGGCACGCGAGCAGCAATGTGGAATAGAGCAGGAGAGCAGTAATGCGGAATGGGGCAAGAGAGCAGCAATGTGGAATGGGGCAAGAGAGCAGCAATACGGAATGGGGCAGGAGAGCATCAATGCGGAATAGAGCAGGAGAGCAGCAATGCGGAATGGGGCAAGAGAGCAGCAATGCGGAATACAGCAGGAGAGCGTCAATGCGGAATGAGGCAGGAGATCAGCAATGCGGAGTGGGGCAGGGAAGCAGCAATGCGGAATGGGCTAGAAGAGCAGCAATGCGGAATGGGGCAGGAGAGCAGCAATGCGGAATGGGGCAGGAGAGCAGCAATGCGGAATAGGGCAGGAGAGCAGCAATTTGGAAAGGGGGAGGAGAGCAGCAATGCTGAATGGGACAGGAGAGCAGCAATGTGGAATGAGACAAGAGAGCAGCAATGCGGAATGAGACAGGAGAGCAGCAATGTGGTAGGAAATATGGTGAGCGCCCAAGAGAGAAGAAAGAAGTACAAAAGGAAAGTTAAGTTGGGGGAAGGTTAGTTAAGTAGGGGGAAGGGGAATGGGGAATCATGGTGAAGGGAGCTGAGAGAGATGTGGTAAGTCAGTCGTGTGGAGAGAGTAAGGTGATAAAGTTAGTGGGGAGGGCAATGTGGATAAGATGTGTAAGATGATAAAAGTTGTTGAGGTGGAGAGGAAAGATAGTACGAGTAGGGAAAGAAAGTAGGTCCAGAAAATAAAAAGTGAGTCCAAGAGGAAAAAAAGCATGACTGAGTGGAAAATAACATAAAAGAGACGGGTTCACAGAATGAGGTAAGCGTCGTGGATGAGATTAGTGATAGATGTGAGCGTGGTAAAATGATGTGGAGTGAGGAGAATTACCAACGTAGGGTAGAAATTGTCTGGCGGAAAGAAAAGAAGTAGGTGTATGTGGAGAGTAGGATAACGAGAGAAGGAGTCAGGGTGAGTGGATGAGGCAGTAAAATGGAAGGAAACGAAGAACAAAGGAGTCCCAGACTATCACAATGGAATCAAAAGGAAAACGTTACGAGCAGGAAACATCGGAAATACGGACAGCTGAAGTTGTGTAAGTACGGTTCTGGGAAGCCGACAGCGAGCACAGAACAGGCATCTGTGTTCGCTCGGCGTGTCATTGAAGCTGATGCGGAGCCTGGCAGTGCGAAAAGAGGGTTTGATGCTGGGAAATGCAAGCGATGACGTTATTGCTAATGCCTTTCATTTTGAATCTGGAGATACGATGCAAAGGCTTTATTCTAGTGAAGGATAACATATGGGGCTGATGGCAGGCGAAGTGGCAACCTAAGACCCACGGGCAACCGTCATCCAATGGGAAACTCAACGAACATGGGGTGATTCTGAAAGGGGCAAGATGCCTGAGTGGGAGGCAACAGAATACGCATTGGGAGGGCGAAGATGTTAGAAAACTACGGGTGACAGTGCGGAGAAAATGCGAAGTACATCCCGCGGCAACGCCTCCCTGGGAGCGTATGGTCCCTCGCGCGCGTCGCAGCCGAGAGGTCGTGGGGCGAGGGTCGCCGGGGCCGAGGTCGCGAGGCGCCGCGAGGCATTCCGTAGTATCGCCCCGAGCGGCGAGAGGGGCGACCGCAGCGGCGCGGGCGGAGGAGACAGGTGGGCCGGCGCGTTAGGGGGAGCGTCAGGGGATATGCGTGGGTGCGAGAGGGGCGAGGCGGGCGGGGAGTGGTATGATG